CGACAAAGTCATAATATTATCACATGCTGTGTAATCGCAGCGCACAATACCGGCGATCCGAATTGAGGCGGTTTTTTGATCGCATTAAATTCGTTATGAAACGGATCAGGGGCTACGCATTGACAAGCTATATAGACATAATCCTTACTTTTACTTTTGTGAACATTTTCCAGGTTTAAATCAGAACCTCGAATCGGCTAGAAATTCACCGCCTAGGGGTAGTTTTACCCTCTGAACACGGATTTTTAAAATGCCTAGCGTCCACGCTACAGGCGCACTGTTCTTGAGTTTTCAACGAATTTCGAGCTTTTGCCCGCTTATAACTTGTTCGTGAAATGCAGGTGACAGTTTTGGTTTTCTTATTTGAAAACAACATTCTAGACTCTATCGATGTACAGTTGTCTCCATACAAATATCTATGGTTCTTTGGTGAACTTGTGTACGTTTAGTGTTGCTTGAGTTTGCCATAATCATTTCCAGGCGATGCCACCTGTATGCGATGCGGAACTGTTCTTGAAGAATCAATTGTTGTGGCTGAAAATCAGTTTCAAGAGAGATCTGGTGGTTCTGGTCACACTCTAGTCGGTTTGTAGATTTTACTTCAATTCTATTGCGACTGATAGTTTATGCCTACTAGAGCACTACCCAGTGATATGATCTCATTTCTCCGAGAATGACTGAACTGAGCTGCTTCGTCGCCTTTTTGTGTATATTTTTATTAGAGTGTAACAAGACAATCGTGACAAGCTGCGCTTGTGGGCGTGGCGAGCTATGTAGTGCCCGGACCAGTTGCCTAGCCTGGCCATATTGATTTGGACGTTAAAGGAAGTTCCCGCCGTGAAGAGTCTCTCTGAAAAAGACTGCTTTTTTTCTAGTTGTGTCCAAGATAAGAAAAGTAGTCCTCGAATGGGATCCTTAGTCGAACTCTATCATGGAATACCCAGCGATAAAGAGAGGTGCTCGTATTCGGAAGAACTTCCTGCTAAATGTCTGCCCCCTTTTTCTATCAAGAGTCTGATCTACTTCCTCAGAAGTTTTGACAAACGATCACTTTTCTACCACAGGCTGTTCTGTGAAGTTGAGGTTACATCTGTGAAGTTTAGGTCCAAATTGGAATTAGTAGGTGATGGCCTGATTCAACAATATAGAATATTGCCGACAAAACCGTCTATTAAAAGAATAGAGGAGAAAGTCCTAGTCATGATCAATCCCTATTTGGGATGCGGCACGCATTCCTTTTGCAGTCAGATTCGTAGTGATTCATTGAATGACGTGGCCCCTACAATAGCTTGCGCGGGCCAGCCAATGTACATCTCAGTGTTCTTATATACCGTACAAACCTTCCCAAATTAACCGTCCCCAGCGGGTAGAAGGCTTGGAATGACTTGGGCGGGAACCGATCCGAGATTTGGCCCGGACCGCGCGCGTGTTGAGCGTGCTACTTGCTACTGCACCACCTCGGGTGGCCTAGGCATAAAGCTCAGACAGCTAAAGCCCGCTGTTTCCGTCGTGTAACCACGATTAAATTACAGCAGGCTCCTTGTACTTCGAGCTGCCGCCGCAGTGTTCTCTGGCAACATTTTCTCTGGTTTGCCTACTACAATGAAATGAAAAGGTTTATTCTTTTTATGTCTTAGGTCAATTTGTATCTCTTGAGCGCGGGCAAGCTCAGGCGCGAGCTGCCGCTCACGGATTGGTCTCACAAGAATCTCGAGAAGTCACTTTTGCGCGTGGCAGGAAACTCATAGAAGAAGTGGGTTTTAAAAAGTTCTCCGGATTTTCACTACCATATCACTACATCATACTCTTTGTAGATAGCTAGTCAACTTCGAATAAATCAACATTGCATTGATACATCGTACAACTTTTTCAAGATGTCAGTCAGTCGTAATCTCACACGTGGACGCGTCAGGTTCTCCTTTCATTATACAGCTTGCTCTTTTTGCTACGATGCGTTCATACTTTGCAACAGCGCTTTAAAGGCAGTTGGCACGATAAATCCCCTCCCCAAAGACGAGTAGGATTAATACGCCTGGCAGGACGGAATTCCGCGCCCCTGAGCAGGCGCTGCGCAGCGCCCTTTTCAAGGAAGGTACCCTTATAAGGGCCCTATCAAGCTACAACATACCGACCCGCCCACCCCACCCGCCCACAAATGGACGACCGTTCCTGACGCTTGTATCGCTTCGTTTGCGAACCT